TTTTTTTTTTTTTTTTTTGGTACTGGGAATTGAACTCATGACCTTGTGCTTGCCAGGCAACACTGTGCTACTGAGCTATATCCACAGCCCATTGTACTGTTCCCTTGTAAAGGTACAAGGATAGTGACCTTTATCTCTCTTAACTAGTCTTAGCTTGAAATTTGCTTTATCTGTAAATAGAATAGCTACCCCTGCTTTTTTCTGGGTTCCTATTGCTGGAATATTGTTTTCCATCTTTTGACTTTCAGTCTATGCATTTCTTTTTGACTTAAACATGTTTCTTGATGCAGCATATTGTTGGATCTTGCTTCTTGATCCATTCTGCCAGTCTGTTTCTTTTGATTGGTGACTTGAGACCATTAACATTGATGGTTTTCATTGATACGTATTGACATCCTTGTCATGTTATTTTCATTGTTGGCCCCCCTTCTTTTTTTCCCCCTCCCTTTGTTTAATTGTTTGCCTTGCCTGGTAGATTCCTTCTGTTGGGGTTCATGGAGTTGTAGTCCTTGTTATCTCTTTTTAGAATGTCCTCCAAAACATTTTGGATGGTTGACTTTTGTGGTCATAAACTTCCTTGGATGTTCTTTGTCATGGAAATATCTTACTTCTCTGTCAGTTTTGAAAGAGAGTCTTGTGCGTTACATCAATATGGGTTGAAGACTGTTGACCTTTAGAACTTGAAATACTTCACTCCAAGTTCTCCTTGATTTAAAGATTTGTGCTGAGAAGTCAGCTGTGATTCTGATAGACTTTCTTTAATAGGTGATTTGTTTCTTTTCCCTAACAGCTTTTAAGGTTCTATTCTTGTGTTGAATTTCTGGAATCTTGACTATGGTATGCCTGGCTGTAGATTTTTTTTTTTTTTATTGTGGCTAATTGCAGTTCTGGATGCCTCACTTATCTGTACTTTAAATTCTTCTCTATCAAGGAAGTTTTCTGCCATGAGGTCTGTGAACAGTTTTTTTTAAATATCATTTGTGCTATCTCCTGCTTTTTCATTGACTCCAGTCTTAAGTTATTCTTCTTTGCCTCATCTTGCAACTGCTCTATTGATTTCTCATGATCCCTTGCTATTTTTAAGAAATCTTTCATTTCATGATTGCTAACTGCAAGCCTGTCTTCTATATCTGAGATGCTGTCCTCACTTTGACTTAGTCTGTTACAGATACTTCCAATGCAATGTTTATTCTCCTGGATATCTGCTTGAATCTGCCTTATGGATTCCATTTCTTTCCTGTGCTGAGTATTCATGGCTTCCATAATTTTCTTAAGCTCCTCTGTTTTGTTTTTAATCTGTATCTGCTGTAGAGTCACTAAGCACGGTTTTCATTATGGACACCATCTCTGCAATTATCTGATAAATTATTTCTGATATGATTTTTTTTTTTTTTTTTTTTTTTTTTGGCTTTTTTCCGGTACTGGAAATCGAACTCATAACCTTGCACTTGCCAGGCAGGCGCTGTACTGCTGAGCTAAATTCTCAGCCCCTGATTTGATTTTTTTCTAGAGCCTCATTCAATTGCTTTGTAGTTACCACTTCAGAGAGGTCAGGTGGGTGGCTTTCAGATCGTCCCACCTCATTGCCCCCTGGGTTTGCCTTTGGTGAACTGGATGTCGGGGGTTGCATCTTTGTTTGTCTTCTCATTTTCATTTGTTTTTTAAAATTTAATTCCTGGTGTAATACTTGTAAATTGCCTATGGTGGGTTGCTGTATTGCTAATATTTAAAGCCGTTAGATAATGACTGCTTTTCTGAGGTATCTTCCAGTTATAGCTGGTTTTTGGGTTTTGAGTCTGTTGCAATATCGTACCTCTTCACTTTGTTGGGGATGAGAAGTTTCTGCCTATTTGGCCCAGCCTCTGGTTCTTTCACTTTGTGCCACAGTATTTTCTGTGCCACTTAGTCAATCTCAGTCTTGGAATACCAGAAGGAACAACTCTTTAGAATAATTTTATGTCACTTTTGGCTATAATGGTACCATCAGCAATGACAACAGTATCAAACACATCCTAGAAAATGACAAACTGAACTAACCATTGATATGCGGCCTTTAACCATATGAACTAGATTTGTGATTATATAACAAGATCTAAAACAGACCAAAAAATTATATATAGCATACAGATCCTTAATATGTCAATTTTGCCCTCAGGGGTTAAAATTAGATTGGGTTAGGGAGAAAATAGAGAAGTGAAAGAAGTGGAAGAGACTAGAGATAAGCTTGGAGGACAAAGGGGAATTATGCTAACTTTGGGAAACTGGTGCTAAAGACTGGAGGGAAAGAGAGAATGAGGAGATAAAAAGAAGAACAACTGAACTACAACCACAAGGAGGCTAGAAACCACTTTCACGTTCTTATAAAAACAAGATCAAACAATGGAGAAAGAAAACAAAAAACAAAACCACAATGACAACAACAAAAAACAACTGCAAGAGAAAAGAAAAAAAAAATCCACTTCCAGGTATGTTTCTGCTGTCACTGGTAAGAGAATGTGTGGAGACAGAGTCCTGATCCTTGTTGATTTATCCCAGCAAGCCCGCAGTGGCTTCTTGGTGGGGTACTGAGTAATTTCAGTGAGCCTGCACCTTCTGGCTGAGATCAGACTCATTCGACCTGCAGCCATCAATGTACCTTCCTTGGGCTTGAGCCCAGCTGGGAGTCACTGGAGGGAGCCAGCAGCTGGCCTAAGTTCTGAGCTCAATTGACCCCTCTCCAAGATGGCTCCTGGCCAGTTGCTGTCTCCCACCAGACAACTTAGACCTCAGCACTCACCGCTGGATAGGCAGTCATTCATGTCTGTTGCTGCATCTCTCTGTGGATGTGTCTGCAGGTTTGAATCACTCCTCTTGCTCAGAGAGTCCTGTTTCAAGGATAAGATGCCACCAACTACCTCCTCCTCCTTCATTGAAGTTTTTCCCTTCACTTTCTCTGTGGGCTTCAGTTCATGCTTCAGATTCTTGCTGGGTCCAGGGAACCCACTTCCCTCCTTCTTGTTTTCCTCATATTGCTATATTCCAGCCTCTGGACAGTGACTCTCAGAGAGGCTCTTTCTATGCTGCTTACCAGTCCACTATTTTGGTGCCCCTTCCTGACCCATAGATTTATGTAATAAGGGTCAAGGATATAGCTCAGTGCATAGTGCCTGCCTGGAGTTTGATTCCCAGTATCAAAAAAATAAAAATAAAAAGATTTTATGTAATAAGGAGATGGATACAAAAAAAAAGGCAGAGGCCAAGCTTCATCCCACGTTTTAGTTACCCATTGGTCATCTGCTAGCCCATCCTCTGAGTCCTTGTTACATTATTCACCTCAAAATTAATTTGAGTCTTCATCTACAAGTAGTGGGATTACAGCTGAGTTTGTATGTGGTTCTACTACAAGTCTGTTCAACTTAGAATGGGCTGCCCTAAATGTGTAGCAGAGACCACACTCAGGAGTCACCCTCTGTCTAAATAACATCAGATCAAAGGCTTGACTGTTTTCTGTTAAGCAACTTGTGGATGTTGTTTATTTTTGCTCTACTAGAAATTAAACCTAGGGCCTTGAAATGTGCTGAACAAGAGCTCTACCATTGAACTACATCCCCCCTCTCTTTAGTATGTATATATGTATGTATTTATGGTACTGAGGGTCAAGCCCACTGGCACTTACCATTGAGCCGCATCCATAGCCTTTTTCATTTTGAGATGGAGTCTCACTAAATTGCCCTGGTGGGACTTGACCCATCATTGTACTATACACAATAGCTTTGCTGCTCTAAAGACTTTCTGCTCTACCTCTTTATTCCTCCCTCCCCTCAGTCCCAATATATAATGGGTCTCTTTTTTGTCTGCAGAGTTTTACCTCTTTCCGAATGTTATAGAGTGAAATCGTACAGTGCAGGCAGGGCCTTTTAAATTGGCTTCATTGACTTAGTAATATGCATTTACATTTTTTCTCTATCTTTTGGTGCCTTGACCACTCATTTGTTTTTATTCCAAATACTGTTTTGTAGTTTGGAATGTAAACAGTTTTCCTATTCATCTATCAAAGAGCTGAATTTTTCCCAGAAAAATTAGAAAATGTGCTACCATATCACAAGAAGGAGAGAAGGAGGGCGCCAGCAGAGCCCTGCACCTCTCTTTCAGGTCATGGCTGTTCTGTGTACACATGTAGAAAATCTTGCCAGTGCTGTTCATGCTGGTGGGAGTTTGTAATCCCAGTACTCAGGAGGCTGAGAGAGGAGGATCACAAATTCAAGGCCAGCCTGGGCAGTTTAACCAGACCCTTTCTCAGAATTCAAAACAAAATTGTTTAATTTTGTTTAATTTTGAGATCTAGTCTGGCTAAGTTACTAGCAATCCTTTGAACTAGCAATTGAACTAGCAATCCTTCTCCTTCAGCCTCCTGAATACCTGGGATTATAGATATACATACAAAACAATAGCCATTGATGTAGATCAGTGGTAGAATGCCCCTGAATTCAATCCCCAGTACTGCAAAGAAAATCTTACTAGAAAGCAAAATATTTGCTTTCAACTGTTACACGTATTTAAAGAATTTAGGAGGAAAGTAAGCCAGGCACGATGGTAATCCTAGCTTCTTTGGAGTCTCAGGCAGGAGGATTATAAATTTGAGGCCAATTTAGGCAATTTGTGAGATGTTGTCTTAATAAACAGACAAACAGCTAAGTAGCTAGAATGCTTGCCTAGCTGCCTAGCGTATGGGAGGCCCTGTGTTCCATTTTAAAAAATGATGAGAATAGTTTATTGCATTTTACAATAGATTTGTACCTTTTTCATTACCAAAGTTCTAGGTTTCCCTTTTCCATGTGAAGTAATTTTTCTTGTGAAGAACTTACTTTCCCTTTTATTTTAGAGTAGATTTCTTTGTGACCAATTCTGTCTTTTTTTCATTTCCCACCTGAAAATATCTTGTCTTTCCTTCATTTCTGAAGATCTTCTTTTGGGGCAGTATCCTTTGTCTCTAGAATCCTATGTCTCTTTCTCTCTCTCTTTTTTTTCCCCTCCAGTACTGGGGATTAAACCCAGGCATAGTCTACCACTGATCTATATCCCCAACTGTTTTGTTTAATTTTGAGATCTAGTCTGGCTAAGTTACTAGCAATCCTTTGAACTAGCAATTGAACTAGCAATCCTTCTCCTTCAGCCTCCTGAATACCTGGGATTATAGATATACATACTGTTCCTGTCTCTTTCCTTTTTTCCTTTTGTGCTACTTGGGATTGAACAGTAATTTTTTTCAACACATAAAAATACAGTTTCCCTGCTTTCTGGCTTCTGTGGTTTCTAATGAGAAACCTACAGTACTTGAGTTGTTTCCCTGTGTTAATACATGCTTTTTTTTTCCCCTCTGCAGTACTGGGAATTGAACCTAGGGCTTGGCACATGCTAGTCAAGTACTCTATCACTAGGCTACATCCCATGCCTTTTAAAATTTTATTTTGAGGAAAGATCTTTCTGAGTTGCTCAGGCTGACCTTGAATTTGTAATCCTTTAAACTTCTTGAACATAAAATGTTTCTGTCTTTAGCTAAATTTGGGAAGTATTCAGCAATTATTTCTTCAAGTATTTTTTCAGCTTAGCATTTTTACCATGTTTCCTCTGTGACTCTAGTGGCATACATGTTCAGCCATGTCTAGTTATATACCTGTGTTGAAGCTCTGTGCAGTCTGCTTTCCAATCTGCTGCTCAGGTTGAGTAATTCCTATTTCTGCCTCTGTCTCTGTGTCTGTCTCTGTCTCTTGCTCTCTGTCTCTCATTCTCTGTCTCTATCTCTATCTCTCTGTTTCTCTCTCTTTGCCTGCCTGTCTGTCTTTGTATCTCTTTCTCTGCCAGTCTCTTTCTTTCTCTCTTTTTCTCTTTGATGATACATTGCTATGTTACTGGCGCTGCCCTCAAACTCAAACTTCTCCTGCCTTTGCCTCAGCTAGAACTACAGGGATCCTCCACCACTCCTGGCCTGTCACTGTTTTATGTTTCCTGGCTCTTTCCTGTCATTTCTTCATCTCCATGCTGCTATGGAGCCAATCAGTGATCTTTAATTTGGATATCACATATGTATATATAGTTTTTATTACTATTTTTTGAAGTGCTGGTGTTTGTACTTCAGGCCTTTTACATGCTAGGCAAGCATTGTACATGAGCTACAGTCCCCAGCTTTTGTTGTTGTAATTTTTGATTCTCAGATTTCCATTTGACAGTAACTTTTTGTTTCTATGCCAAGGCCTTTTTATTTGCTTGGGCATGCTTGGCTTACCTTTGGGGAGTGGTATAATAGTTGTCTGCCTACAAGTCTCTATTGATTCCTGCAGTCATTTTAGAGCAAACATTTTTCAACTATTTTTCCCCCCTGAGAATTAATCATATTTTCCCTACTTTTTGTATATCAAGCAATTCTAGATTATATTCTAGATACTTTGATTATGCTGTGAGGTCTGGGTTGTGTTTCAGTCTCATAAAGAGTGCAGACATTTCAGCTGCAGTAGGAATGTGTTGTGGTATTCTAGGCTGTGTGTTTTGAATCCCCTCTATGGCTGAGATCAGGTCAGTTTTCAGAGCTGTTTCAGTGCTCCTGGCACCATCTGGGGCCCAGTCTGAGGCTGAGCAGTTGTCTACCCATAGATCAGTTCTCAAAGTTTTGGTTTTCCATGTAAGGTTAGGTTCACACATGCACTGTCTCAGGATGTTCTAGGCATTCCCATGCAGCTTTGTGGGTTCAGTTTGCATATTCCCCACTGTGTCCCATACTGACTCCAGGGCTCTTTCCTTGTTCTCTAGAAGTTTGGAGCTGTTGTGTTTTCTGTGATATCACTGACTGAATCTGGCCTGGGCCTGGTATAGAAGATAGAGAATGAGACAGCATAGCCCCCACTAAGTTCGGACACTGTCCTCTAGTCAGGAGGGAGGTTTCCCTCTGAGTTTTGGTGCTTGCCATGCTACCACTACCATAGCAGTCTTCAAGCAGGGGATTTGGTTGTCCTGAGGGCAGGACCATCAAAGATAAAAGTAGTATTAATAATGATAATAATACTGTTACTAGTAAGCCAGGGTGTTTCCCCATTGCTGTCTTTTTTCTTTTCTTTTTTTAAGAAGAGGTTTCTTGGGGCTAGGGGTTTAGCTCAGTGGCACAGTGCCTGCCTGGCAAGCACAAGGTCATGAGTTCGATTCCCAGTACCGGAAAAAAAACCAAGGGGGGTGGGGGAAGGAGAGGTTTCTTTTGGCTCATAGTTTCAGTGAGATCAGTTCATGGTCACAAGGCTCCAAGGCAGAAATGGAAGAAAACTACTTCTGGCATAGTGTCTGGAAGCAGAGAGAAGGAAGGGAAGAGACAGGAATGAGAATATACCCCTCCAAGTGAAGCCCCCAGTGACCTGATCCTTCTGTAAATGGCACATTCAGTTATGAACACATCGGTGCACTAGTTCACTGATGAATATAGTGTCCCTATGATCCAATCACCTTATAAGAGCCCCCCCCAACAGAAGACTTTTAGCGGACATTTTAGATCTAAACCATAGCATTCTACCCCTGGCTCCCAAAAGGCTTATGTCCATCTCATTATGTAAAATACACTTAGTACATCTTCAAGAGTTGCCAAAGTCTTACTAGTTCCAGCATTGCTGAAAAATCCAAGTCCAAAATCTCCTCTGAGATTCAAGGCAAACTCTCAGCTATAAGCCCCTATAGAAATAAAAAAAAGCCAGGCATGGTGACACACATGCATAATCCCAGCACTCAGGAGGCTGAGGCAGGAGGATTGTTGAGAGTTTAAGGCCAGCCTGGGCTACAAAGTGAGTTCAAGGCCAGCCTGAACTATATAGCAAAAACCCTGTCTCAAGAAGACAAAAAAAAAATGTTAAAGAAATTTTACATGAATTAATAAATAAGAAAGAAAAAGTTAAATATTTTCAACATACAGTGACATAGAGTATACATTCCCATTTCAGAAGTGGGGAAGAGAGGAACAGAAATAAGACCAAAACCCAGCAGGGAAAACATTAAATCCTATAGCTCTATGTCCAGCATTTGGGAAAGTTGTAAGATGGGAATTCCAAAGGGCTGGGATGGATCTACCTTTGTGGCATTGCTGGTTGCAACTTATACAGCTTTTCTTTTGGATTGGCTTTACTCACTTCCTGTAGCTTTCCTCAACAGATGGTTCATGTTCCTGGCATCTTCAACTTTCTACTGCACCTTTGGTTTCACATACTACTCTCTCAAGGACACCTAGAGGGGACTGTGATCTTGTCACACATTTTTGCCTGGTCTCCTAGGGTTTCTTGTAAAATCTGGGTGGAAGCTTGTGTGATCAAGTAACTCTTGCATTTTGTATGACTGAAAAATCACCACATGGAGGATGCCAAGGTCTGCTGCCAGCTTAAGCAATAGCCAGACCCCTCTGAGTACCTGGCTAGCTGAGCAAGGTGAAATGAATCTCCAGAGAACCAATTCTCTAGGTGGTCCTTCTTGAACAGGGCACCTTAGGGCTCTCTTTATCAAAGCAAAATCTTTCAGATGAGTTTACTTTTACATTTTTATACCCTTGAGCCTACAGGTAGGGTGTGGCCAATTCCTGAGATGCCCTCAGACTATCTTTCCTATTGTTCAGATGCAAAGTATTGGCTTCTTTCTAATGCTAATCTTTTCTGTAGTCATACTCTGTATGACTCCAACTTTGTGGGAGCTTCCTTTCTGGTGAATTGCAAACTTTGCAAATTATTTAGCTCCACTTGTTGGTCCTGATTCTCACTGTAAATCTGATTGCAAGCAGCTAATGGTACCCATAGCACAGCCTGAATGTTTGGCTGCCTCGAGATTTCTTCTTTTTCTTCTTCTTCTTTTTTTTTTTTTTGGTACTGGGAATCAAACTTAGGACCTTGCACTTGCCAGGCAGACGCTTATGCCACTGAGCTATATCCTGGGCTTGAAATTTCTTCTACCAGATCAATTAGTGCATGTTATGGTTTGTAACTACATGTCCCCCCAACAATTCATGCACTCATAGGTGGAGAGTTTTGAAGGTAGCTGGATTAAGGTGTGTGAATGTGGATTAAGGATATGATACTGGGGTTAAAGGTGTGGATAATAAAGGCCCCACCCTAGGTATGGGTTGTACCAATCAACAGGGACAGAAAGAAGGCAAGCTTGATGCTACTGCTGTTGTTTGCAGCTTGCTGCCTTTTGCCTGCCACACCATGTATTGTTTCTCCTCTGTGATGCCCTTCTGCCAGGCCATCCAGCCTTGGAGCCAGCTGACTATGAACTGAAACCTCTACAAACTATGAGCCAAAATAAACCTTTCCTTCTTTAACTTGTGGGTGTTGGGTATTTTGTCTTAGCAATGAGAAAAGTAACTAAGATAGTGCACAACCTTCAAATTCAGCCTCACGCCAAGTCTTAGGACTTGGACAAAATATAGACAAGTTTTTTGCTAGAAAGAAACACACATGGTCTCTAGTCTACTTTCCTGTACATTCTCAACTGTCTAGTCTACTTTCCAGTACATTCTTAACTGTCCATATTTCTATCAGCATTCTGGTCTTCGTAACTTCTACTAGAATCACCTGCCAAGCTCTCTTCACTCTATTTACAGCATTCTAAGGCTTCTCTAGAAAGCGTTGCCAAACCTTCCTAGACTTCTCCCACAAACAAGTGCCAAAGGCTTTTGAACCACGTGGTTAGATATAGTCATAGCAACAACTCCACTCGTGGTACCAGACTCTTATATTGGTAACTTTCCTATCACTGGAGCAAAATGCCCAGTATTCACAGTTTAAAGGAGGGCAGGTTTATTTTCGCTCACAGTTTCAGGGGCCTCAGTCCATGGTAAGCTGACTCTGAGGCAGAAATGGCATGGCAAAATACCTTGACAGAAGGAAGCTGTTCACTGCATGGGGGCCAAGAAGCAGAAAGAACAAGAGGAGGAGCTGGAACAAGAATATACCTTTCCAGGTTATGCCCTCAGAGACTCCCCTTCTCTGATCAAGCTGCACTCCAAACAGCAAAGTCAAGTGGCTGTGAACTCATCTAGGGACTAATCCACTAGTGACTATACCGCCCCACATGATCACATCACCTTGTTCCAAAAGCCTTACCTGTCAACACAGACTTTAGGAGGACATGTCTATCTAAATCATAACAGCCCACATCACCACCCAGAGGCCATTACAAATGAGGAAATTGGTGAACCTTACTTTCTTCTTATATGGGTTTCTCTTCTCTTTTCTTAGACCACAGAGTCTTCTTGGGTGCTTTCTGTATGTATTGGTGTTTAATCTTGGGCTTTCATCCTGTTTTTGATTTCAGCTAGGATGTCTATAGGGAAAAGTAGACCCTAGGAAACTCACCTTCAAAGAAGTCCTACGTGACATTTTGATCTTGTGACCTATTCTTTCTGCTGCCTTAGAACATTCAGACCCTCATAGAGTGAGGAGTGCTGTACCTTCTTGTGGAAGAGTATGGCTCATTTAGTGGGAAAGATGGTGGATCTTGCTACCTAAAGCTACTCTGAGACCCAGAACCTCAGGGTAGAGCTTCTTTTTGAAGAGTAGCAGACAGGAACTTGGAGGAGGATTTTTGGTGATATTGAGAGAAGCCATTTGCTAGGTGTTCTGTTGAGCAGACTTGGAGACTACCCTGTAACTTGTATGTTGCCTTGCTTTTTTCAGGACTTGGGGCCCTGAAGGAGTAAAACTCCTGGCCACTGGTGCCCGCTTCTGTGAACCATGGCAACCCCGGATGTGAGCGTCCATATGGAGGAGGTGGTGGTTGTGACAACTCCAGACACTGCAGTGGATGGCAGTGGTGTGGAGGAGGTGAAGACAGTGCTGGTAACGACAAATCTGGCCCCTCACGGGTAAGGACTGGGCTTTGGTCCTGCCAAGGCCATGCCAGGGGGAAGGTTGAATTATCTGTGGCACAGCTGGCTGCCAGGTTTAGGTACAAGTATCAGAATTTCCTTATGTATGATGATTCTCAGGCTGGAGCAAACTGCATCAAATGAGAGGATCAGCTGTAAACTCTGGGTGACGCCTGTGCTCTGCTGCAGCAAGGCGATGTGGCTTCCAAACACACAGTGACGTTTTCTGATAAATAGACCAGTGGGAAAGATTGAGGGCTGCTTTCAAGGAGTGAGGGTGAAGAGCCAGTGCCTTTGTTGGCATTCCTTATGAAACTGAATTTTTTCTTCATTTTTTCCCCTTTTTAAATTTTTTATTTTGAGACAGGGTCTTGCCTGGTTGCCTAGTTTAGGCTCCAACTTATGGCTCACCTGCCCCAGCTTCCCAGAGTGCTAGAATTACAGGTGTGTGCCACCATCCCAGCTTCATCTGCTCTTGTACTGCACATCTGAACTGACTGTTGGTTGGCCAGAAACCTCAAATCTGACCAAACTGCTGGCTGATTTCTGCCATCTCTGTAGGCAGAGTTGTCAGGAGATGTCAAAGTAGGTCCTGCCCCTGGCAAGAGGTGAGGTGAAGGGAAGCAGTGACGTGGACAGAGGGGCTGTGTGAGTCCTTGCTCTTCTTCCCAGGACTTGAGGCTTTGCTGCATCTTGTATATGGCATCTTGACACTGTCTCAGCTAATCATGGAGCAGTGGTCAGTCTTCACTGCATGACAGAGAACTTTTTATTTTTTTCCAGTATTGGGGATTGAACCCAGGACCTTATGTATTTTTGACAAGCATTGTAGCACTGGGCTATATCCCACCCCTTTAAAATTTTGAGACAGGGTCTCTAAATTGTCTAGGCTGACTTCAAACTTGAAATCCTCCTGCCTCAGCCTCCTGAGTAGCTAGGATTATAAGTATGTGTCACTCTGCCCAACTGATAGAACTTTTCAGATCAAAACACTGTATGATCTTCTTTGTTTCATAGACATGGCACAAGACCCTGATGATGGAAAGAGGCTTCTGAGGAGGACCCCATGGGGTTTGATCTTTGATCCATATGCTCTGCTGTAACCTCCCTATGACCCCACCTACAAGCAGTGTGCAATCTCCTTGTTCAGATTTGGGGTGGCCTACGAATAGTGTGGCAGAATGACACTGGGTCAGAGAAAGCCACATTGCTTCTTCCTGGTGCCCTGGGGTCACTGCAATGCTCCCAGCTTTAGCGTCATCCCTGAGGATGACTCCATACTGAGTCTTCCTCGCTGAGGCCCCAACACTGGGCTGCTGCTGTAGGGTGATACGACTCAGCCCCACACTGAGCACGCTTGAGGATCATTGTCTCTAGGCGTCTCTTCCTGAACTGGTGTCTTCTCACACAGTTGCAGGCTGAGAGATATGCACTGTGAGTAGGTGTCTGGCCGGCTTGTAACTGTATCACATGCTACTCACAGGCCTAGGGTAGGCAACACTGCCTCTAGGTGGTGTAGCCTTTCTGCGCTTGGGCACAGTCACCTCCCTACCTCCTTTTCTCCCTCCCCCCCTCCTTCCCTTTCCCTTTCCCTTTCCCTTTCCCTTTCCCTTTCCCTTTCCCTTTCCCTTTCCTTTCCCTTCCTTCCTTCCTTCCTTCCTTCAATTTCTCCATTTAAAATTTTGCCATATTGGAAATTGAACCTAGGCCTTTGGACTGAGCCACCTTCCCGGCACTATTTATTTTTTCATTTTTTATTTTGAGGCAGGGTCTCTCTGAGTGGCCCAGGTGGGACTCACACCTGCGCTCCTCCTGCCTCAATCTCCCAAGTGCTGGGATTACAGGTGTGTGCCACTGAACACCGCTTGGCACTGCCATTTCTTTCCTCCACCACTGGCTAGGACCCCTCAGTGTCTCATCCAGCTCTAGTTCCCAGCCTTGGCCTTGCAGGCCATCTCAGGTCTGGATGCAGGTGAAGCACCTCTTGATCCAGAGACCTAGGAGTTAAAAACCATGTTACTTCTTCCTCTTCCCAGCAGGAGGATGGTCCTACTCAAAAGCCATGTGGCATAATCTGTGAAGGTGGGCCTCTTTTGTCAGTCATGAAAGAGCTTTTGATTAGACAGAACCTCAAAACTCACCAAGGTCTGAATGATATCCTCCACAGCTATGCCATGGTTTGGTGTGTTCTAATACCATTTTTTATTTTGACAATTGATGTCAACAGAGAAGCTAGACAATTGATGTCAACAGAGATCACACTGTGAAAGAGTGTGATCCTTCCGCTCCTCCTAAGTACTGTGAGAACAATCACCTGACTTCATAGAAGCCCACTCGCACTTTCTACATTCTGGCTGAACTGTTCCTCTCAACATGCATATGTTCTTTGTTGTATTTTCCACCTTCTAGATTGCTGAGGCATAGGATTGTTCCTCTACCACACATGACATAGCAGTAACACCTGTCTCCTGCCCTTTTCAAGCTCTGCTGTTTGTGAGATCATAGCCCCCTCCACTGGCACAATCCTTGTTTTATTTATTTATTTATTTTTGTTTTTTTTCCAGTACCGGGAATTGAACTCACGACGTTGCGCTTGCCAGGCAGGCACTGTGCCGTTGAGCTAAATCCCCAGCCCCCACAATCCCTGTTTTAGTCATTTTTGCTGCACAACAAACCACTGCAAAACTTAGTAGCTTAAAGCAACTAAGTGCTCATCATTTCTGCTGTTGGTGGATTGGCTTTGGCCCAGCTGAATGTCTGTGGCCCCACTCTGTACATGGGTTTGCACATGGCCCTCACTCTTCACAACAGCAGACTGTGCTGTCCTTGTGGTGGAAGCTTCCAGCAGCTGGAATGGGCATTGCAAGGCCTCATCTGTACCATTGGTCAGAGCTGGTCACAAACAGGGCAGGTCACCAGCTGGGCATGGCTCAGGCTTGTAATCCCAACATTCTGGAAGGCTGAGGCAAGAAGATCACAAGTTTGAGCCCAGCCTGGACAACTTAGTGAGACCCTGTCTCAAAATAAAATTTTTAAAAAAGGCTGGAGATACAGCTCAGTTAAAAGGCTCTGGATTCATTTCCCAGTACAGGCATATGATGGAGAAAAACTGGACAAAGATCAGCCTGAGTCAAACGGGGTGGGGAATCCCCTCTTGATGGATGCAGCCATGAAAAATGGGGCATTTTTCAGTCTGCAATGTGGGTCGCAATGTCAGGGAGCTGGAGTGCTATCCTCGCTGGCTGGACCTTTCTATAGGAAGAGAATGGGCTATGTGTGCCTCCTTGGGAAGGCATCCACCCTGGACTTAAGGCAGGTTTGTCTTGAAGGATTTGAAGGTTGTCTTTCTCTGTCAGGAATTATTACTGTGTCTTACTAGTTGGTAGTTGAGATTTATTCTTGCTATACTTTGTTTGAAAGAAGATGGGGAGTAGATCTAGTTAATTACTTTGTAGGTTTCTATCTTTCCCTGATGGATATTTGCCAGGAAAATATGGGAGTGCTTCTTATTTATGAAGTCTGGTACCACCTTCCCACTATCGTGCCTCAGCCAGTGCTACTTGCTGGAGAGAAAAAAGCAGTTTGATAAAGTGCCAGGAGTTTCTAAATTTGCCTTCAGTAAAATAGATATTTTTAAGTGAAGTATGAACCAAAATGCCAAGTAATTAATGTCTCACTGTCAAGCTGTAGAGGAAGTGCTGATGGTCCGCACCCCATGGATGCATCTCCATCTTTGGTTTGCACAATGCCCTGTTTCCTAGGCTGTGTCCACCTAAAGTTGGTCCTTATTTTCTTGGAATCTAGGATAGGTCTGCTTAGTGATCCTTGGTGGCCTGCAAGAGGCTCCCTGCCTTCTCTGTTGTATTAGTCAGCTTTTTGTTGCTGTGACAGTATACCTGACAGCCATCTTAAAGGAAGAAAAGCTTATTTATTTATTTTGAGGTGTGGGGAGTTGAACCCAAGGCCTTGTGTGTAACAGGCAAGCACAGCATCACTGATCTACATCCCTGGGTTTCAGTCCATGGTTAGCTGGCTCCCTCATTTTTAGGCCTATAGTGAGGCAGAAACATGGCAGAAAGGCATGTCCAAGAAGGCTGCTCACCTCCTGGCAGCCAGGAGGCAGAGAGGGTGAGAGAGTGAGGGGCCAGGACAAGGTACAGCTGCTTCCTCCACCTGGGCCCACCTCCTGTGGTCAAAGCCCATTGAGCTGATGTGGTCCCTGCCCTTATGGTGTAGTCACCTCTCTAGGCTGCACTGGGGACTGAGCCCTCACTATATGCATCTCTGGGAACACTTCCTGCGGATTTCCTTCACCTTGGGAATTTGGTTCTGTTGGCTGCTATGCAAGGCACATGTTCCTGTTCTGTCATTGTCTTCTCTACTGTGCAAGGTTCTGGCTCAGAGGAGCTTCCTTTTCCAAGTTCCTGAATCCTCCTTGGATTTAGGTGTTCCTATTTAATCACTTAATATTATTCCAAATATTGGAGTCTTTAAAAAAAAAAAAAAGAAGACAGGATGTTGGTATGTAGACCAGGCTGGCCTCAAACTCATGATCCTCCTACTGCAGCCTCCCAAGTGCCAGGAGTACAGGCCTGTGCCACCATACCTGACTGAGTTTATTCTTTTTTTTTTTCCCTAATGGTACTTGGGGATTGAACTCACAGCCTTTGTGCAAAGCTACATTCCCGGTCCTTTTTATTTTTTGAGACAGGGTCTTGATGAATCACTGAGTTGCAGAGGGCTTGCTCTTGGAATCCACTTGCCTCAGCCTCCCAGAGTGCTGGGATTACAGGTGTGTGCTACCATGCTCAGAGTAGGAGCTATTCTTAATATGCCCTGAAGGCCAAATTTCAAATTTATATTTTTAACTCAACTCCTTTTTTTGGCCTCATCTGAGGTAAAAGAAGACCTTGAGATTAAAGAGTGATAAGCTGATTGGGTTACACCATCAGGTACTCCAGGAGAGGGATCAAGATGGGACTTCAGATTTTTTTTTGAGCCAAATCTTTCTGTGTAGTTCAGGTTGGCCTTGAATTCACAGTGATCCTCCTGCCTCAGCCTCCTGAGTGCTGGGATTACAGACGTGGGGCCACCTTGCCAGGCCAGGATAGGACTTTGGGACAGGTGTGCCCACTGCTCAGAGATCACCTCTGAGCTGCTGTTTCAGGCCTTTCCAAGAAGTTGATGCCTGGTGGATTTCCAATGTGAAGCTCTTAGGGAGGAGAGCCTTCCAGAGGCCATGATGTGTGGCTCTGACAGTGAGCTGCCCACCGAAGGCAACTGCAGTCCAGCAGGATGCTGCAGTGTGTCCTAGATGGTCTGCAGAGCCTCCAAGGCCTTGTCCTTTTCTCCATGCTGGGGAGCCTGTGTTCTTCTGGCTCTTCTTCCTGTAGGCTGCCTCCTTTCCCTAAACCTCAGCACCTTAAGTGTGCCAGTTGTCCTCCTCAGGAGTCTCTGACAAGGCTGAGGGTGCTTCTAGCCATGAGTTGGTACCCACACCGCATTCAGCATTGTGGATAGCCTCCCTTGGGGCCGTGCTTTCTTTGCTTTTATGTGATGTCAGTGTTCCATGCTTGGCCATCTCTGCTTTCTTTATACCACCAGTATCTTCCTGAGGATCCCCTACTTCACCAGGGCTTTAGCTTCCTAGGTCTGGGCTGAGCCCTGACCTCTTGGTTGAGCTGCAGACCCACTTTGAAAAGTGTCTGCTGAATGAATGGTAAAATGTGGCTTAGTTACAGACTAGAACACTACCCAGCCACAAGAGGAAAAAGGCCTCAGCCTGCAGAGTAACAGTGGGTGTCACAGAGTGTAGTGGAGGCAGGCAGACCCAGGGGAGGACACAGCCTGTGTTCACATGAGGTTCAGAAGCAGTGCATCCAGCCAGAATGAGGGCCACCAGTGGGGATAGTGGCCAAAGGGCCATGAGAGGGATACTTCAGGGTGCCATGCACAGGTGGGTGAACCTGTACTTGTCCCCAAGCTGCCACAGGGGCCCCGAGTGCTTCTGTGTGTTTGTTACACCTTGCCTAGAGAGTCCCAATCAGACTCCAGCTTGGTATCCCACAGTTACCCCAAAGCCCTCTGCTCACACCCACCCTAGTCCTTTTGGCTTGGCCTTGATACCTCCGGTGTGGAGCTGGCCTGTCTTCAGTCCCCACCCCCCCCAGTCACTGTCCCCTGACCTTTGGTCCCCTGTGTTGCTGAGATTCACACTTGTGTCCTCACCTATGTTCTTGGCTCTTGTTTCCTATTCCTAAAACCTACCTTCCACCCACTGCCAAAACATTCTCTTTGTTTTTGTTTGTTTTGTTTTGAGACAAGGTCATCTATATTGCCCAGGATGGCTGTGAACTTGTGATCTTCCTGCCTCAGCCTGTGGAATAGCTCGGATTACAAGTATGTGCCACCACACTTGGCAGAATGTTCTCTTTTTTTGTCTTTTTTGAGACAGGGTCTCGCTATGCAGTTCAGGCTGGCCTTGAACTCATTTTGAAACCCAGGCTGGCCTTGAATTTGAAAGGATCCTCCTGCCTCAGCCTCCCCAGTGCTGGGATTACTGGTGTGTGTCACCACACCTGGTTAGAATGTTCTTTATAAAATACAAATCTGGGGCCAGGGATATAGCTCAGTGGCGTAAGTGCCTGCCTGGCAAGTGCATGGTCCTGAGTTCAATTCCCAGTACCAATTAAAATAAAATAAAAATAAAAATTAAAAACAAAAAAGAATTAAAATACAAATCTGACCTTGTCACTCACCTGTTTAAAGATCAAAAGAGTTTCCTCTCACCTTGAGCCTGCCGTGGGGCCCTATTAGGCATAATCTGTCCTACAGAAGGAAACTATTGAGCCTACATCCTGCTCTGAGCCCTGAGCAAGCTGATCATCTGCCCATCTGCTCTCACCCTTTCCAGGTTCTGCTAATGAGTCACACCCTGGGGGCTGGCTTCCTCCAGAACAGGTGCTGTCCCTGGCTTCAACCGTCCTGTTGGACTATGTCTGTGTTCTTGTGGGTCATGGGTGAACTGTGGCAAGCTGTGCACCCCATTCCCCAATCTTAAGACTTCGACACCCAGCTGGTCTATGCTCACCAAAGGGTGGAGCCCTGAAGGAAGGCAAGGAAGTGTGGAAGGTACCTGTGGACATTCTTGATAGTGGGTGTATTTGAACACACTTAGCCAGAAAAGTACACATACCACACACTCAGTTATCATGAGCTAAGCATGCCAGAGGAATCCCCACCCAGACTTCTCCCCAGCTGTCCACATTGCCTCCTCCAGGCTCCAGAAACCCAAGACTGGTTTCCTGTTTCAAGCATTTAGGTGGTACATCACTATGCAGGTAGAAACAGTCTGCAGGATTGATTTCCAGAAGTGAGGAGGAGAGCTGGCTCAAAGGGCATGTGCTTTCTAAGCTGTAGATAAATTATCCCCTTGTAGCTTTTGTTTTTGTGTGTTTTTTTCTTTTTTGGTACCAGGAATTGAACTCAGGACCTTGTGCTTGCTAGGCAGGTGCTGTGCCGCTGAGCTATGTCCCCTGCTGTTTTTGTGTTTTTGTAATGCCAGTGATGAAACCCGGGGACCTCGTACATGGTGGGCAAGTGCACCACCAGGCCCTCATTGGCTCTGCCAGCTGTGTTGGAGGGCCTGCTTCCCTATAGCTGTGTCATCTTCCCACCAACCTTCTCCTATACCTATGTTGGCCATGTTTCCACCTTTGAACTGTCTTAGTGACTGATACCTTACTGTAGGTATTATTTTCATTTCTTTGGAATAATGAGATGTCTTTGAGGTCTTTGGTCATAGTTGTCAACTATTGGGCAACAATGTTTGGTTGACCTGTGGGCCCTCTATATGGTAGAAAGAGGTTATGTTTGTCTTCCTTATGTTGTAAACATTTCCCTCAGTGTTCTCTCTTTATTTCATTTTTTATTTATCTTGTCTTTTTGAGGCAGGGTCTCACTGTGCAGTTCAGGCTGGCCTTGAACTCACTTTGTAACCCAGGCTGGTCTCAAACTTTCAGCAATCCTCCTGCCTCAGCCTCCTGAATGCTGAGATTACAGTTGTGTGCCACCATGCCTGGCTAATGTTCTCTCTTTAAGAAAAAAATAGTTATAGTGTTTTTCCCCAGTGCTGAAAGTTTTATTTTTAATTCAGATGTCTTCGCTACTTTCTTGTTATTGGATCAACTATCTAACACCAGCAAGTTTAAGAAGGTACAGTTTATTTTATCTCAGAGTTTGTAGGGGTTTCAGTCCATAGTCAGCTGGCTCCAAGGCAGGGCAGCATGGCAGAGGAGAAAGAGTTCATGGTATAGGGGCCGGGGATTTAGCTCAGTGGCACATTGTCTGCCTGGCAAGCGCAAGGTTGTGAGTTTGATTCCTGGTACTGGAAAAAAAACCAAAAAAAAAAAGAGTTCATGGTGTAGCAGATAGGAGGCAATGAGCCTTCCTCCTCCTTTTTCCTTTTTCTTTTTATTCCATCCAGACCACAAGCCTATTAGTTGGTGCCACCCACACTAGGGTCTTCCCTTTTCAGTAAGTCTGTCGCCCACACCCAGAACAAATCAGTGGACTAATCCAGTATCACACACCCATGATCCAGTTACTTCCGGAAGCTCAGTGAGCACGTGAGGCTGTGGGGGGACATGTAGATATAAAGCACAGCATCAAACTTACTCTTGTTTTGCCATTAGGTCCTGCTGTGTCGTCCAGGCTAGTCTTAAATCTGAACTTTCCCATCAGCCTCCTGAGTACTGGGTTCCTGGTGTGTGCCACCACACCCAGAGCCTATAACCTTTAATTTTACCATAATTAATTTTGGTGTAAGTGAGAGTTGTCATGGCAACTTTTTTTCTTCTTTCCACAATTTTAAGCCAGGCGCTGCACACATCTGTAAGCTTAGCTACTCAGGAGGCTGAGGTGGGAGGATCACCAGCCTCCAATTTAATAGAAACTATCTCAAAAAAAAAAAAAGTGTACATTTTCTAGGCTAGAGGTATGACTCAGTGGTAGAATGCTTGTCTAGTATGTGTGAAACCCTGGGTTTGATCCCCAGCACTATAAAAAAAATGGATAAATACTTTGATAATTTGTATAATTGTATGAAGTAATTGTAATAGAAATTAAAAACATTATTAAAGAAAGAAATGGAGGTTTAGAATTCCCACTTAAACATTAGTTGCTTCCATAAATCCATCATACTGGCGTTGCTCAATGGTGCTATTCTGGGTACTACAGACAGTTGTGAACAAATCAGAAAATTCGAGGCTCATATTTTCATGAGGAGTAGCACATGGTACCCATCTGTACCATTCCCTGACTGCAGAGCCACTGCTGTTTCCCAAAAAGATCAGAAAAGTGTCGTGCATATATCAGCAATGAGACTTGTCAGTACTGCAAATTGCTTGATGTATGCTATGGACTGCAGATTTTGCAATCAGGGATTCTGATGCTCTCTCTTTCTTTTTCTTTTATCTTTTACCAGGGGTGACCTGACAGAAGATAACATGGAGACAGAAAATGCAGCAGCTGCAGCTGCTGCAGCCTTCACAGCCTCTTCACAGCTCAAAGAAGCAGTGTTAGGTAGGAAGCCACATTAGGGGGTATCATGTTACGTGGAGAGCTACATTAGGTGGGAAGCCTGCCTTCTGCCCACTCATTGTGCAGGGGCACTGTGGTCCTGTGACTGAGATGGGTAACGACCAAGGGTAAGAAGGTTCTTATCCAGGCTGTGCCACAGGGTTCTCCCGAGGAGGCATGTCATGTCTGTCATGACGGCATACCTCTCCCTGTGGCTAGGGGAAGAGCAAAGGACCACCTAATATTGCAGCTTTCTCCTCTTCGGGATTTCGTTGTCTTGTTGCTGCCTCTGTACCCATTTGCTATGACTATCACTGTTCTATTAACATCTGTGGGACTTTGTGTTGCCCAAATTAAAGGGCCTTAAATCCCTAAGGCCTCCCGTGCAGTGTTTCAAATACAGCTTGATTTTATGTCTTTTTGTGGCTCTCCAGTTGGACCATAGTTTAGTGGGATTATATTAATAATACTGTAGTTAAATCTATTTTGTGGATCCATCTAAAACTCTGACCAGACTGAGTCCCTTACTCATCATGGCCCTACTTGGGGCCTTCCTGGATTTCAGTTTTGGTTTCTAGGTTGGCACCTGCTGGAAGGCATTTGGAGGAAGTATTTTGGAGAGATTATAACTGATTTCTCATTCTTCTTTTTCTTGTCAATGTGCCTGTGAGAAGTGAAGATGGCTGAAGAGGGGGAGAACTTGGAGGCTGAAATTGTGTACCCCATCACCTGTGGAGACAGCAGAGCCAACTTGATTTGGAGGAAGTTTGTGTGCCCTGGCATCAATGTGAAATGTGTTCAGGTGAGATCACAAGGTGCACCTGCTTCTGCTCCAGGGGAGTGTAGCTTGGGCTGTGGGTACTAGGGAGACAGGAGTTCCACAAGCCTGGGAGGACAGAGGAAGTACTGTATAGTAGCCTGCATGTGGGACAGGCTGGATTGCAGCTGTGGGCACAGTGAGGACGAGCCTCCAGCAGAAGTGATTCCTGCTACCAGAGTGAAGCTGTAGGAGGCAGGTGATAAGGGGGTTCTGCCTATGTGGTAGAGGCTACAGCCTCTAAGTTAAAGTGGCTTTGTTTGGCAGAAGGAGGTATGCTCTCAAGAGACTGATTTAGAGGTGAGGGGGAAGATGAATGGGAATGACACCTTCTTTCTTGGCAACGTGGTAGATTAGATACCCAGATTCACCTTATGTTGAAAAACAGCTAAAAATACCTTTTAAGGTATTTTCATAAAGTATCTTCCAGTTGCCTCTTTAAGGCAGAAGTTGTCAGGCCTAGGGCCTGAGTAAAGGTGGAGTAACAGAGGCAGATAAAACACTGAGTCTAGCTTTTGCCTGAGAGCCTTGCTGACTGACTTAGCTCAGCTTTACAGCCAGGGGATAAGAAGACTAAGCCAAGACTTCCCTGAGGTTGTACATTGCGGGAGTGGCTTGTTCACTCTAAAGCTGGTACTGCCAGAGGGGACCGTGATAGCTGTCTTGGTTACTTTTCTCTCGTTGCTGGGACAAAATACCTGACGCCCAAAATTAAGGAAGGGAAGGTTTATTTCGCTTACAGTTTGTGGAGGTTTTAGTCCATACTTGGCAGGTTACAAGGCAGGGTGGCACATGGCAGAGGGCTACAGCTCACTGCGGCTGAACACAGCAAAGCAACAAGCACACAAGCCAGGAATGGTCGCAAGCAGCCTCTTGCTCTCCCTTACATATGCAAACTATCCACCCCAGGGCGGGTGCAGCTCTCACACCCATAATCAATCAAACTCTAAAAGCCTGCCCCATGGCAGTGTGAGGCTTTGGGGGGACACCCAGACACAAACCATAACAATAGCCTTCTAAGCTTGCCCAAGCCAGAGTGAGGGGGCTGCTGTCTCCCGTGTGTGCATCGAGAGCAGAGAGTTGTGCTGTGGAGCACTCACATGTGGACTTGAGAGTTTAGTTACCGTTCCCTCCAGAGACTAAGAAGTGATGAGAAATCCTCTTGGGAGGAATTTTTCTTTATCTGAGATTTCCAGTAATTTCCACAAAGTCAAAAAAAGAGAGCAGCTCACAACAAAACGAACACCCCACCGACAAGGAAACAAGGCAATCTGGATGACTGTGTGTAGAGGAATGGCAGCAGGGTCAAACCCATTTGCACTATAGGTATTGGATTTTTTTCCAGTAATGAGGGTTGAACCTAGGGCATGCTCTTTGCCACTGAGCTCTACATACCTCCAGGCACTGGAACTTTTAAGACACAGGATACAAAATAATTATATATTTAATTTATATCAAGAAATAAAAGAGAACCTATGTAAAGAAAAAAGTGGATTTGACAAAAACATGATGAAAAATGAAAAGAATTAGAATTAAACACTTGGTGGTTAGGTTTCAGAGCAGATTAGACATAGTAGAAGAGATAATTAGTGAACTGAAAGATAAAACCAAAGAAATCATCTAGAATATAATCTACAGAACATAAAAGTGGGCAGTAGAAGCAGGAAAAAGTCTGACATACATGTTTACAAAGAGAGAGGTAAAGGTTTCATGATAAGGGAGGAGAGCAGTCCACAGTTTGGGGACCTGAGAGAGTCCAAGCTGGATAAAAAGACCCCCACTTCCTCTACCTGGGATGATCTGATATCAAAATAAATAATGATGGTGTAGCTCAGTAGTGAAGCACTTACCTAGCATGTACAAGGCCCTATGTTTTAACCCTAGCACCATACACATGCACACACACAATAAGTAAAAGAAAATAATGGCAGTCATGGATTATAACTCAAGTAGGATAAATATCTGAGCCTGTATTTATTATAGTTTATTTCATGTCGTTTACTATTAAGTGTGTGCATAAGAAGGAGTGAAGTGCTCGTGTCAGAATGTCAGCTTACAAATGTGAAGCAGTGATGTTCCAGAAGTCCTCAAGGGGTGTTCACACTAGTCATGAAGTGAGGTGAGCCACAGTCTGAAATTATCTGTCAGATCACATGTTAATGCAGATGCAAGTAACTGCAGTGGGGAATCCTGCCAGGTGCCTCCTAAACTAGGAGATGAATGTCTACATCATCGGTATCAGACCACCGTGCATGCTTCCTGCTAGAATGGATGAGCAGGAATTCTGTCATACTTTTGCCAAATATTCACAGCCTTACTACTTCCAACAAAACAGACAAAAATTGAAAGATATTCTACAAATACCTGAACTGTGTGCTTCAAAAATGCCAGGGTTAAGAAAGACCAAGATAGGCTAGCTGGGTGTGGTGGCGTACGCCTGTAATCCCAGCACTTGGGAGGCTGAGGCTGGAGGATCACTGAGAGTTTGAGACCAGCCTGGGCTACAAAGTGAGCTCAGGGCCAGCCTGCACTGCATAATGAGATCCTGTCTCAAACAGACCAAAAAAAAGAAAAGAAAAGAAAACAAAACAAAGCAACCAAGACAGGCTGAGAAGCTGTTACAGGGCAAAGGAGCATGATGAGATATGGCAGCCACACACATCCATCTTGGGTCAAGACCTGCATCAGGGAAAGTAATGATAAAGGCTATCATTAGGACAGTTTGAATCTGAACATGGCCTACAGATTAGATGATAATGTGCCAGTGAAAAGTTTTTTATGTTTTTTTTGTACTGGCAGTTAAACTCAAGACCTTGCACTTGCCAGGCAGGCACTATGCCACTGAGCTATTTCCTCAGCCCCTTGATTTTGAGAAGTGTTCTGTGTTTGTGTCAGAGTACCTTGTTCTCAGGAAATACATTCAAGTCCCTTGGGGCCAGGGGTCTCACAATCCAGAAGAGGGTGGCATGTATTCACACATGTAAACAGAGGGTAGATGTACAGGAGGACCAAGAGAGAGGGCATAGTGGGGATCCCTGGACTATCTTTGCAGTTATATCAGAATAAAAAGTTAGAAGCAAGAAAGAAATGTGCTGCAGATAACACCATAATGAAACACCAGAACAGAGATAAAGAAGATCTTAAAAATGGCCAAAGCACAAAGGACGATTGCTTAGGAGGAAGAACCCTAAAAGCACTGCAGTGGAAGCCAGGGGTGGTAGGGCTGGATTCCCCTCCTAAACCACCAGAGAATTATTGGGCACAATAAAATTCACTCTTAAAATTAGGGTGAAATAGACATTTTCAGGCAAAACTGAGTTGCCATTTGCAAATCATCAATAAAGGATATTCTTAATGTGTTTCAGGCAGAGGGAAAGAGATCCCATATAAAAACATGGAGTACAGGAAAGCATGAAGGGTGAGGGAGATGAGGGCAAATCCCACATGATCGACTGGCAGTATTGATGGTGATGTCCTGAGAAGAACCTGAAGATAAAACACCAGCCACACAGTGGTGCCAAGGAGGCCCATGGGCTCTGACAGCCAAGGCTTGATGTGCTCAGAGCCCAGGCTGCCAGAGAGAACAGAGCAGAGAAGAACCAGGAACCCCCAGGGAGTCTTCGCCCCTGTGAGGGCAAGAAAGGAAAGGGACAGTCTGTGGGACAGGTGAGGCCGGAAGAGCCAAAGCATCAGACTCAAGCAGGGACTGGCCAGGCAGGCACAAGCCAGGCAGGTTCTGGTATGTGCATCTCAGGAGGAAGGCAGCATGCTATGGCCAGAAGGGTGGCTGCGTGAGTGGGTACATTTTCGTCTGTGGCATGTAGTGATGAGAGTGTACAGAGACTCGGGATTAGGAGCCAGCCATTACTGTGTCTGCCTAGTGAGGCATTCTGCTCGAGTGACAGCTTGCTTGGGAGGAGGCATTCCCAGGACACAGTGACTCATCCTACCTAGCCTGCTTGTTTTCTAAGGAAGTGTTTTGTTTTTGTGGTGCTGGAGATGGAACCCAGGTACCTTTTACTTGCCAGGTGAGCTCTCTAACACTGAGCTATACAACCAGCCTAAGAAATGCAGTTTTATTTTCATTCTTTGTGTCTTAGTTACATTTTCTCATTGCTGAGACAAAATGCCCAGTGCCCAAAGTTAAAGGAGGAAAGGTTTATTTTAGCTTATGGTTTATAGAGGTTTTAGTCCATAGTTGGCTGGCTCCAAGGCATGGCGGCATGGCAGAGGAGAAACAGTTCATAGCAGGCAGCAAGGCAGCAAGCTACAGCAGCAGCCTTCTTTCTCCCCTTATATCCTAATCCATACTACATGCCCTTAGGGCGGTTAGCACTCATACCCAGGGTGGGCCTTCCCTTTATCCTCATTCAGAACTATGCCAAACCAAGCAGTGTACTAATTTAGTGATCACAAACTCTTGATCCCAGCATCACACACTCTAGATCTAGCCATCTCTAAAAAGCCCCACATATGATCACATGAGGCTTTGGAGGGTCGTCTAGACACAAGCCATAACACTTTGGTTTCAAAAATTACTTGCACAGCAAGATTGAATGGAGTGTTTTATCTTCTCAGGCTTTCTGAGCTCTAGCATGGGGTAAACCTCAAGCCCCAGAACACCTTGAGTCTGGGAAACAATTCCCCTGATTTTGAAATGGATGTAGATAAGTATCACTCAAGGCAGGTTACTATGCTTCCTGTGCTGTCTGTGGTCCAGGAGTGGCCCTAGTCTGGGAAAGGGGTTGCTCACAGCCTGTCTTTATGCTTGTGTCTCTGGTTAACATTGTCGTGATATAATGAGTGTATGTATTACTGATGGAATAAATTGCATGTAAGAAGGAGGTTTGCTGCTTCCAATCATGAGAAATTTAGTACTGCAGGATTTCTGCAGTGGGTTAGCCCAGCCCTTCCCAGTACCAGGCATATTGTGTACTTTGTGGGGCAGCAGTGTGCCAAGTATCAGATGGAAACCTGGTCCCCACTCCAGCCACTGCTGACTGGGGCATACCTTTGTCTTACCGCAGTATTCTGTAGTAAGCCTATGGCTGTTGTAGCCACACTATGGTTCTTTTCCCTACCATAAACTCCTGGCGTAGGGTCAGGCAAGAGAGGAGAGGAGAGTACCCGGTGGCCCCACTAGACCTCTGTGTGGGGCCAAGCCAACCCTGCAATGCTGTGCTTCTCTGCAGTATGATGAGCATGTGATCAGCCCAAAGGAGTTCGTCCACCTGGCGGGGAAGTCCACCCTGAAGGACTGGAAGAGAGCCATCCGAATGAATGGCATCATGCTCAGGTGGGCTCTGCACGAGTGTGCTCATGATGGGAGGGGTTGCAGCCTTGTTTTTTCATTTGGTTTTGGCTGTTTGAAGACAAGGTGTATGTTTGATGTGGTAGGTGCTAACAGCCCCTCCTGTGTGGGTGCACCTGTTCGCATCCCATGGGGAGTAGAGCATCTGCGCTGTAGCAGGGGCACTACCAGACTTTTAGGAAGTGTGTGTGTGTGTGTGTGTGTGTGTGAAATTTTAATTTCCACAAATTCTGCAGGCACTTGGCTAGTCATTATTTAGAAAGCAAGGTATAATCTGGTGTTTGTGCATCAGGTGGGGATCCAGGTTTTAACCTGAGGATAGCCTTTGATGTCATCTTTTATTTTTGTGTTCTTTTTTTTTTTGGTTTTGTTTTTTGTTTTTTTTTTGAGACAGGGTCTCACTATGCAGTTCAGGCTGGCCTTGAGCTCAATTTGTAGCCCAGGCTGGTCTTGAACTTGCAATGATCCTCCTGCCTCAACCTCCCGAGTGCTGGGATTACAGGCGTGAGCCACCACACCTGGCCTTATTTTTGTGTTCTATATTGCTTTTTATTAAAGTCTCATGTGGAGTGCACAGATGGTCAGTCCATCTTGCTTGGCTTGTGTTCTTTGTGAACCATTAGGCACACCTGTGTCCATGTGCCTGGAAGATGTCGGTGCTGCAGGGAAGGTGCCAGTGACCAGTGTCCACTTCCTCGCTTCCCCAGCTGGTACACTGTTTTGTGTCAGAGTCAGTTTGGTCTTGAGAGTGACCAGCCTGGTCCTTTCCCACAGCCCTCAGTCCCATCCCACTGAGTCAGCCTCTGGTTTTCTAGAGTGACTGACTACAAGGCTGTAGAGATGCAGGGCTAGGGGTGGTGTGTGGAGAGCTATGTATGTACCTGAGGTCTGCATAGCCCAAAACCAAAGCTATGCTCGAACTTCAGGCCCTGTTTATGGGACACAGCAGGCTGGCTGGCTGAGACCCTAAACTTAGCTGCAGGCAGGAGAGAGAGTCTGAACAGATAGATCCTAGCTGGTCAGGATATATAGTTGCCTTTCTGGCAGATAAGAATGAGAAATGACCACAGCTTCAGATGCTGTCTCTGAGTTATATGGACCTTTTTTCCTGTCCTGTCCAGAGATCAGGACTTTTTGTAGAAGTGACTCCTGCATCTTTGCTTCAGAACTGGGCCACTCTTGCCAGGCATGGTGGTGCATGCCTATAACCCCAGCACTCGGGAGGCTGAGGCAGGAGAATCATTGTGAGTTCAAGACCAGCCTGGGCTACAAAGTGAGCTCAAGCCCAGCCTGAACTGCACAGCGAGACCCTGTCTCAAAAAAGACAAAAAAAAAAAAAAAAAGAACTGGGCCACTCTTAATCTAAGTGGGCCGTGCTACCTCTCCCAATACCATAGTCACAGCATGGAGCACTAGCCTCCAACATACCCATCGGCCAGCGTCCTTTTCTCCTTAAGTTGGACAGAGTACTATGTGGGTAACCTGGGTCAGCTGTACCAGCTGCAGTGTGTTCCTGGTGGAGCTTTATGCCTAGGGGAGTATTTAGCCAACCTCCTGCCTTGTGGGACCCTGCCCCTGGTTAACACCTCTGCTGAGAACTACTCCTGCAGACAGATGGCCCGAGTCAGGAGCGTGGGCCAGGTATCTTGGGTCTCACTTGGGCTGCTCTGTCCTTTCTGCAGAAAGATCATGGACTCTGGGGAGCTGGACTTCTATCAGCATGACAAGGTCTGCTCTAATACCTGCCGAAGCACCAAAATCGACCTGTCAGGAGCCCGAGTGTCCCTGAGCAGCCCAACATCTGCAGAGTACATCCCACTCACACCTGCTGCAGCTGATGGTAGGTGTGAAGGCTCCTGGTCTTACAGTCTGTGTAGCTGTCCTAGCCAGGCATAGTGGCACCTGCCTGTAAATCCTAGCTACTTGGGAGGCTGAAGAAGGAGAATTTCAAGTTCAAAGGCAGCTAGGGTAACTTAGTGAAACCTGCCTTAAAATTTTAATTTTTGTTTTGCTTTGTTTTTTTGAGACAGGGTCTCACTCTGTAGTTCAGGCTGGACATGAACTCACTGTACAGCCCAGGCTGGCTTTGAACTCAATGTAATCCTCCTGCCTCAACCCCCTAAGTGCTGGTATTACAGGGGTATGCCAGCATACCTGGCTCTATCTCAAAAAATTTATGTGTGTATGTATGTATGTGTGTATTTATGATTTATATTCTAAAAGGCATACACATCGTTTAATCTAGCCACTTCAATAATCAATTAGCAAGCTTCTTAGGGGGGAAAGGGAGGCTCAGTTTGAAACTGCCATCTCTATGGGCATTTATTTTACTATCAATGATTAAGAAATACCAACAGCACAGATGAGGAACAGTGGCTCTAGTTCTTTCTCTAGAAAGATCTCTTCACTAAGATGCCTACAGCTCTCATTCAGTGACCATTTCAGGTCAGGATCTACCCTGCTGGTGCCTAGCACCATATTAGGAAGTGGGTCCATTCTGGGACAGCCAATCGTAACAAATCATCATCACTGTGCCACTTCCTCCCCAATACCCACTTCCTGGGTTAGGCAAATAGGTGATACTACAGGGATCTTTAAATTATAGAAATGAAACTATGAGACAATATAGTTCTTAAATACAGAGCTCGGTAAATATTAATTACCATTGTTACCGTATTTCTTCAGCTCTGTCTTCAGCTTTTAAACATTCTAACATTTGTGTACTAAAGCACACCTTTAAAATCTATACATTTAATGGTTTTCTTAGCCTGCTATCCCACTGGCTGTTATTAAATGAATGGTGGGTTTCACTATTAATGGCATCCTAGAATCAAGGAAATGTGGTCTTAGGCTAGTGAATGGAACAAGAAACAAAGGAAAACTATAAAGCTGCCTTAGGTCAGGTCTCTGACCCTTAACATAAGAATCTGAAAGGGCCTATGGCCAAGAGGAAGAGAAGGATGTGGCCTAGACTAAGGAGCTGGGGGCAGCAGGTCAGGAGGGGCCTGGAAAGGAGACAGGAAAACTGGATGGAGAAGGCACCCACCTCAAAGATAAGGAGGAAGGAAATCTATGAGGGAGCTATGTCAACTAGCCAGAGGGGTGGAGAGAGGTGGTGGGGTGGCAGAGTGAGTGTCAGTTCCCTTGGCTCCCCAGCACTGATCCATAGCATTCAGGGAATTCGGCAGGAAGATGACTGGGGTCCCTGGGCAAGGGGATGGGCCTGTTACAGGCTGAACTGGAGAAAGCTGTAAGGTATCGGAGGAACCTGCAAGGGCAAAAAAGCAAATCCCTCACATAGGTTAGGGCAGCAACATGACAAGGGATGAACGGCGCAATCAGAAGTCTGGAAGCACAGGTCATGGGTAGAGATGTGGGCCAAGAAGAAAATAAAAATAGACTTGAAGAGTGCAAAGGTGGGACATGCGTTACGGGTGGAAGGGATGGGAAAGTGGGAAGCGCCCAGAGGAAGGACCATCCCTGGGCAGGTGGAGGGGTGGACCAGAGGCAGCCCTGGCTTCTCATCCTTGACATCATTGGCCAGCACCTTCCATGTCTGGGTGAGGCAAAGAGCTTCGCAACCCAGGTGCTGCAGGAGTTGAGCATGGAGCTGTGCACCGTGTCCACCTGAAACAGCATCACAGAGTCAGAGGACAAGTACAGTACCCCAAGTTGGGCCACACTAGAACCGGGCACTGTGAGTGGCAGAGGCAGGAGCAGCAGGAGCAGGTGGCCACATGTTGTCATCCTTCATAGCCTTGGTCACCACCACCCACAAGTTTATTGCCAGTGGGTGCCATCTGTCCCTGAAGCCTGTCTCAAAAATTTTTAAAAAGGAAACAGCGCACCTGGCCTGACAAGCCTTCCTCTGGGTCCCATGTCATCTCCTCTTGGGCACCCCACCTTTTATATGGCGTCCTGCTGGGTCAGGTTGGCCTCTTCCTTCCTCACAAAGAAATCTTTTGAATTTCTGGGTTCATTGACAGGAAAGACTAAAGTATCTACTTTGTAAGTCATTTTCATTATAAGACAGTGCATGCGTAGAGCAGGGTATAAAGAATACTAAAGGGACTTCTCTGTGCCCAGGGCTGCCCCCTCGCACTCAAGGCCTGCCTTTTGGTTATGGCTTTGCTCCCTCAGTGTTTGGTGGCTTGCAGAGCTGTGTGTCACTCTCAGTCCTCCTGCTGGTGTCCAGCTGCAAGTGCTTCCTGCCCCCTGGACATTGGGTGATAACTTAGGACATTCTTTCATGTGGCTATCCATAGCTCAGAACTATAGAAAGAGTAACAGTTCCCTGGAATTCCACCCAGCTTTCTGAATGAAAAATTCTTTCTTATTCATTCATTCATTCATTCTCTCTCTCTCCCTCTCTCTCTTTCTTTTTAAACTCTCTCTCTCTCTTTCTTTTTAAACTAAGGCTGGAGTCAAGTTGGGTCCTGAGTTCCAAGTTGTGTCATCTGATGATGCCTGGCAGTACTTCCTTTCCAATGATGTCATTTGCTGTCACTCTGTAGTGTCAGGTTGGAGTGTGCTACCATATGATTGAGGACATCCTTGTTCACCCAAACATGGCCCAGTTTATAGGCCTTCCTTGACCTGTCCCTAGGAGAAGGAGAAAGAGACCAGGGTGGCTTGAGGTCTTGTCATTCTGCCCCATGTTTTTCCTGTGCCCTGCCTAACAGATTGCAGGTCATAGTGCTGAGTCCTGAGAAGCCCAAGGACACTCAAGCTGCTGCAGGCAGAGTGGCTGGCCATTGTTGGGTTGCCTTGGTTGATGGTTATGGTTTATAACAATCTGAAGTTGTCAGTTGCTTAGCTCCTTTCAAAGCCCCAGATTGGATGCTGGAGGAGTCAGGGCAGAGCTCCTCCTGGGGTACCTTGGAGCATGAGGTGGTATAGAGAGGGGACATTCAGTGTCCTTGTGGCCAGCATAGAGGTTTTGCACAAGACCCTCTGCTCTGCCTTACTAAAGTCACCCATAGGTGGCCAGCCAGGACAAATGGGCACTGCTAGTGCTTTTTCCTAAAGAAGGACCAGGCTTCTGAGTCTTCTAATCAAGGTTGCTTCACCTTGGGAAAGCAGTCTGGATTGGGATTCAGCTCTTCCTGCTGTTTGTTTCTTCTTGCAGTTGGAATCTTTAAGCTAGCTGAACTATTGTCTAGTTAGTAAGAACTGGGAAGATCATTTGTTCATGTCCCCATTGATTCATTCCCATTGATTCAGGTATGTGTAATATTCACCAGCACCACATCTTTGTTGAGTAGAAAAGGCGGCATAAAGTTGGAAACCTTACCCAAATACTCACTTGTTTCCAGTTCTACTTCTGTATCGGGTCTCTATGTGAGGCCTCTATCAGAAACCCCAGAACAGCCAAGTTGAACTGTGCAGATAGCTGGGGTTTGCACGCCCTGGAAATGAACTCAGGAGTAAATCAGAATAGGTGGTCTACCCCTGTTCTAATTTAGAAATTTGGAAACATGATAGATGCTAAGTTTACAATAGCATCAGTGAAAAGTAGATGAGAGGTAACAGTGGAATCCAGGGTGACCTGGGTCGTGCTTATTGGTGGCAAAACCAATAAGTCCCCGATGGTTGAGTTGCAGGAGCTTGCTGGGTAAATTTGTAAGTAGAACCAGAGAAGCAAAATACTGGGAATTGCTGGCAGGAGGCAATAGCTGTGTTTTTCTCCAGTTTTTCTTTTTTTTTTTTATGCTTTGTATATATTTGGAGATGTCTGTGATTAAAAATAAACTGTCTATGAGGCCAGTGTATTTACTGATTTTCTCGTTACTGCCCAACACTCACAGTTTAAAGGAGGAGAGGCTTAATGTGGCTCATGTTTTGGGGTATTCAGTCTGTTGTTGGCTGGCTCCAAGGCGGAAGCTTCATGGCACCAAAGCAGAATGGCTGTACCAGAGCATAAAGGCGGGGGACCAGACATAGACCCCCCCATGTCCAAGAGACCTCTAGCACACTCAGAAGTATCCCTGTCAACCCCCAGGCAGATCCCAAAGCCAATCAAGTTGACGCTCTACCCTAAACAGCACAGCAGGGGAGTTCCTTGATTGCACTGTGGAAATGTGTTTGTTAATTTTGTGAAAACAAGTGGCGAGGAGGGATTCAGATATAGCCTTGAGGGCCAGGGATATAGCTCAGTGGAATAAGTGCCTGCCTGGCAAGTGAAAAGTCCTGAGTGTGATTACCAGTACAGAAAAAAAGAAGTTCAGATGTAGCCTTGGGAGGATTGGCAGGACTTGTGAGGGTGTGGGAGCTACTGTGCAGAATGACACCTGTGCTCCATTTTGCTTGTAGTGAATGGTTCGCCTGCCACCATCACCATAGAGACCTGTGAAGACCCCAGTGACTGGACGACAGCTATTGGAGGTACAGCCTTGCGGATTTCTCATGAGTGCAGGTGGCCGTGGCTTGGGTTGGGCTCTGGCTGCTGTGGTCATGGGGACTCTGCAGTGGACCTCAGTCACCACCCTATTAGACTTACGGGCTAAGTAATGCGTGCCTAGTGCTCTGACTTCCCTGGGCAGTATTCTTGGCTGTCCTTTGCTTTTCCTCACTGAGGGCTACCTCAAGCAGCAATACTCTTCCTGCCCACCTAGCCTTCTCCTTCCCTCACAGATGACACATTTGCTTTCTGGCGGGGACTGAAAGATGCTGGCCTGCTGGATGAGGTCATACAGGAGTTCCAACAGGAACTGGAGGAGACCATGAAAGGTCTACAGCAGCGGGTGCAGGATCCTCCCCTGCAGCTCCGAGGTGAGGGACCCTGTCTCCCTCTCGCCAGCTCCTGCCAGGCCCTGCTGTGTACCTGGGATGGAAGCCCAGCATAGATGCAGGACCTGGCTGTGCTGGCAGTGGGAGGGTCATTTGGCACACATCTGGCTTATGGAACTGGGCTCCTCCGGCAGGCCGGATCCCCAAGGACCACGCCCAGCCCTGGGGTCTGGGCCCTCTGGGAGGGAGCCTGGGTTCTCACCAAGTGTTCACATTGCTCCTTTAAGATGCTGTCCTCCTCAACAACATTGTACAGAATTTCGGCATGCTGGACCTGGTGAAAAAGGTGCTTGCCAGCCACAAATGCCAGATGGACCGCTCACGGGAGCAGTACGCCCGGGACCTGGCAGGTGCGCTGGGGTTCAAAGCGTCTGTGGGCTCAGTGTTTTGGCCATCTCCACCAAAGTGGGGAGTAAGAGAAACCAGGCATCACATACTGAAAAGTCAGTAAAACTCAAGCGCCTGTGGCCAGACTTCAGCAGGGCAGAAGGTACAGGTTGTTACATTTACTGACCTTTCTGTGGTGGCAAGAAGTCATTAGGAGAAATGATAGAGAAGTGAAAAGAGCCACCCTTGACCCACCCAGAGCTAGGCTTGCTCCTGTGGTGTTGTGTGTTTATTCCGGCCCCCTGTGGTATTGGTACTTACACGTGTTTGCTCTGTATACACTGCATATGCACCATGTGTGCATGTAAACAGGCTCATCACCCAGGCTGCTTTGGTGCCACAGCAGCTGTCTGTACAGAGATTGTGACTGGAATACGGTGGAATAGACAGGGAAGGTCTAGTATATGCACGTCCATCTGTGGAGTGGCAGTGCTGGCTCAGCCGAAGGCCATCTGAGGGCCCATGCTGCTGACCTCACCGTTGGCAGGTGTCTGGTTGCAGTTAGCTTTTCGGCTGTCCGGTGATGGTGTGTGTCTGCTCCCCTCCCAGCCCTGTGGGGATGCTGCCTGTCCTGACCCCCATGGTGACACCGTGTGTGTCTCCCACAGCCCTGGAGCAGCAGTGTGATGAGCACCGCCGCCGTGCCAAGGAGCTGAAGCACAAGTCTCAGCACCTCAGCAACGTACTTATGACGCTGACCCCTGTGTCCCTGCCGCCCCCCATGAAGCGACCCCGGCTGGCACGGGCCACATCTGGACCGGCCTCCATGGCCTCACAGGTGCTCACCCAGTCTGCACAGATCGCCCTCAGCCCGGGTGTGCCGGTGTCCCAGCTGACCAGCGTACCACTCGGCAAAGTGGTGTCCACACTGCCCTCAGCCGTCCTGGGCAAGAGCTCCCCTCAGGCTCCTCCGGCCAGCTCACCAGCCTCTCCACTGCTTGGGGGCTACACAGTCCTGGCCTCCTCAGGCTCCACTTTCCCTAGCACAGTGGAGATCCACCCGGACGCATCCAGCCTCACAGTCCTGAGCACAGCAGCCATGCAGGACGGCAGCACAGTGCTGAAAGTGGTCAGCCCACTACAGCTGCTCACCCTACCCAGCCTGGGCCCCACCCTGCAGAATGTGGCCCAGGCATCACCGGCGGGCAGCACAATTGTAACAGTGCCTACAGTGGCTGCCCCAGGGCCTGATGAACACACAGCTACCATTGAGGTGGCTGCCATGGCAGAGGACCACGAGCAGAAGTAGCTGGTAGGGTGGGAGAGGCCCCTCGGGGTGGACAGGACTGGCTGCCTCTCCTCAGGCCGCTGCAGGCGGAGGCCACGGAGCTGGCTCAGCACAGGCAGGTCTCATGGGCTGAACCAAAGAGAGCACTTGCCAGAAGAATCAAGAAAAAGAGGGACAGAAAGATGCCAGCAACCTGAAAAATCGGTCTTCACCTTCTAAGCGCCCCCCCCTTTTCCTTGGGAAATATATATTTTCCATCTGTTGCTTATTAATACTGTTTACACATTGGCCTTGAGCAGGAGCCAGGGGGCAGTGACCAGAAGGTCTGGGTATAGCTAGGTGCAGGCAGCAGAGGCAGGGGTGGCAGGCACTCAACACCCTGCAGGTGCTGGTGGCACACAGTCCACCCAAGTCACTGAGGCCCTGGTGCCTATGCCCCCATTGGGCCCATCATGGGGTCTGAGCCTGCTGGAGGGGGACATAACTAACACATGTCTTGGGAAATGTACCCAAGTGTGGAAACCCATGGATCCTATGGATTTGGTTTCTTCCCACAGTTTTTTGTAGGTTTAGTGTGGTCAGCACCCCACTCTTCTGCCTGTGGAAACATGGTCCTGGGGCTGGGGTGCAGACCCAGCAGGTGCTCAGGTGGCCATAAGGCCCCACAGACCAGGTGAGGTCTGGGCACCATTGCACATGTGCTGCAGGTGTTTTTAAGTGAATTGCTTAGTAGGTGAATAGAAAGAGTCAGATTTATAGCATTTTCAACCAAAACAATGCTGAGTGCCTAGGATTCCCAAGCGGACTATGGGGTAGGCCTGGGCACTATGCATGCACATGGCTGTGGGTAGAGGTCCTGGGCTGCAACCTGCTCAGGGTGAAGCTCTGGAGAATTTGTTTGGCAGTGTTCCTTCAGACTTTCAGTGGCTCAGATGGCTTCTTGTGTGCCGCCTGCTGTTGGAACCCCCATGCTAGCTTTCAGGCCCTTGAGCCTCCCCTGGAGGTGGAGTTGAGCCTTCTGGCCAGAGGGAGAATCTCAGGGCATTGGAGGAAGCTGCCCAGGGCAGGGCAGGGCCAGTTGGGACAGGTGTGACCTGGGATGCCCCCTGAAGGCTACCTGTGGGTGGTCTGCAGACCTAGGTTTGAGCTCTTAAGGGATACAGGCAGGGGCATCTTCTAGGCCATAGCTCCTAGGGCCAGACATTTCAGGGGACAGACAGCCCAAGCCACTTGCAGAGTGAGTTAGGACAGTCCTAAGGGCTCAGCACTTAATGGACCCTCCTGTTGGTTTTGTGTCAGCCAAAGGCCTTTCTCCGGAGGGCCTCACAGCACAAGGCAGGCCGCTGTCTCTTCACTGTGTTAAAGGGAACTAGCTGTCCCTTTGTCCATCGATGACCCCTTGAGTGTCAAGACCCTACCTCCACACCTCTTCTGTGACCAGGTCCCTATCTGCCTCCCCACCCCACATCAAGCTACTGAGTTCTGTTTCTTGTTTTCCTTCCATTGCATCATTTGCTGTTGTTGTGAGTCAACTGGTTTCAGCATGATGTTTACCTGTTTGTGTACCTCTTCCTTTTCTAAGCTCATTTTTATTCAAGTCGTGAATCTTTTGTTACATGTAGCAGTGTAACCCTGGGGGCATCAGGAGGGTCTAGCACATGTGGGCACTGCCCAGACCCTGTCAGAGACAGCGTCACTAATGAAACACCTGTTGCCCTGGGAGCCAGAGACCTTCCAGGGAGTGTCCAAGGTGCTTTCTACACTTTGGCTTGTGGGTCAGTTTCCTTTCTTTGTAAGAGCCAGGTTGGGACCCTTTCAGTCCCTCCCCCTTAGTCCATGGAGGTACCAGAAGATAAAGTTAATTGTAGAGCCATAGAAAAATAAGCCCCAAGCAGCTTCAAAATTAATTTCCATCCCTCTTCCCAGTGCCCCCAAGGCTGCCCACAGACATCTGCTGCCAGCCCGTCCTCCAAGGCTGTTCCTGATAGGTGAGGAAGGCGCTGAGGGTAAGGAGGGCAGGATTTTCCTGGTGGTGGGAGTTGTGCAGTGACCCTATGCAGCTCTCCCCTGCCTCCCGCAGGTCCTACTGGCTCCTCAGGGTTGCTGGGCTTCTGTGCACCAGTCCTACCTTTGAGGCCTATCAGCCACGTGCAGACACAGGTGTTCATGCTGCCTTCAGTTTGGTTTTCTGAGGAGATAGGATTGATTTGGTTTTGCAGAAGGGCAAGAGCTTCTCTGAGTGCCTGCCTGGAGGCACCCTTGGGAAGGGCAGTGTTTGAGTTTCACTTTGTATGTTGTTTTGCAAATATCTGCTTGGTACTTTGATTTAAAATAAAAGCATTTTTCATAATTTCTGCATCTGTCTCATAATGAAAGACTGTAGAGAGAACCAAATTCAATGTAAAAATAACCTGAATGGGGTAATACACACCTATAATCTCAGCTACTTGGAGGCTGAGGCAGGAGGATCACAAGTTTGAGGTCAGCCTGGGCAGCTTAGTGAGACCCTGCCACAAAATGAAAAAAGTTGTGGGGGATGCACTCTGTGGTAGGAATGCTTGCTAATGTGTGAGGAACCAGTTTGATCCCCAAAAAAGTTTAAAGAAACTTGTAACACACCTGGGACAGCACCAGTTTCCTCACACACACATGTATACTTTGTCCTTTCAAAGTGTGGTCTGGGGCCCAGGACCCTTCCTAAGTGTTCCAAGGTCAAGCAGTTTTCTTAACAGCAGGCGCCATTTGGTGTCTCTGCTGAGCAGAGAACTGACATAGGTCACGGCCGCCTCCATCAGGGTCTGCTGCTGCTCCCTGGGCCGATGGCTCCTGGACACCGGAGGTGTATTGTGCACAGTCCTGGAGCCTGGGGCCTAAGGTCAAGACAGACACTGCCTGGCAAGGGTCTCAAGGCTGCTCTGAACTTCATGGAGGGTGAGGGTCCAGCCCATACCTCTGGGCCCCTGGCTTGACCCAAGGCTGGAGTCCCAGGGCTTCCAGCAGAGGGCAGGGAGAGGCTGCAAACCTGCACTTGAAGCAGTCCAGTCCTTCCCTCCCCAGAGCGCCTGCTGGATTCTTCTCTTGTGCAGTGCTGTGCTTTGCTCTGGTGCTGTTGCCCCTAAGACTCCATGGGAGAGCCTCCCACACGTCCCAAGGAGACACTGTGGTGCGGCACTTCTGAGAGTTTGACACTGTCCCAAGACAGGTTCTTGTGTTTTGAAAGTCAGGGTCTAGTCTCCTTGGGTGAGCATGGTTTAGGGTCCACACTGAAGACCTGCCCTTCTGATTTGGTAGTTTTTACAGGTATGGTCCATTGCAGTAAGGAACTAACAGAGGCGCTGCAGGCCCTCCACGTGCATTAACACTTGGCTAGCGTCCTCCACCTCCCGCCCTCCTGGTCACTTCTGTAAGCACCTGCTGTGTGGGCTGGTGTGTGGAGGGCTGGTGACTCAGATCAAGTTGGGTGCTTTACATGCTTTAAGCTTAGGTTATTAGTTAAATATACATGAGTGACTGATGCAGCTTCTTGCTCCGCTTTCCAGACATGTGTGAACATACTTCAGTGGGTCTCGGTGGATAGAAGGTGGTGCCTCGTGTTTTCTTTCAGTATAGAGGAGTGGTGCTGAATGAAGTGTTCAGAGTCCGTTACATGTGATAAAGATGGTATTTGGGAAACTTTCAATGTAGATGCTAGTCCAGAAAGTTTGAGAGACATTTTTGGAGGATTTCTTCTTTCATTAAACTATTCCTTCTTAGTCCTGTTTATCTTAGAAGATTCTTTTTGCTGAAATTCTAGTTTAATATTGTTAAGCTGGCATTTATTTATTTATTTATTTTTGGTTGCTAGATGCTTGACATGTTTTTCCTACTTTTTAATTTAATTTAATTTTTTTTTTTTTGGTACCAGGAATCGAACTCGGGACCTTGCGCTTGTCAGGCAGGCACTTGTGTCACTGAGCTATATCCCTGGCCCTTATTTTATTTTTTGAGATAGGGTCTTGTTAAGAAATTCCAGCTGGCCTTGAACTCACAATGTAGCCCAGGCTGGCCTCAAACTTGTGGCAGTCCTCCTGCTTCAGCCTCCCAAGTACTGAGATTACAGGCATGTGGCACCATACCTGGCTATTTTTTCTGATTGATTGATAGATTGATTGAGGCAGGGTCTCACTCTATAGTTCAGGGTGGCCTGGAGTTCACTATGTATCCCAGGCTGGCCTCAAATTCGTAGTGATCCTCCTCCTCCAACCTCTCAAGTGCTGAGATTATAGGTGTGCACCATGCCTGGCCCTATTTTATTTTTAATTATATTGCCTTCATGTTTGTTGTATCTCTTGTAAGTATTAAATAGCTGTATTATTTTCTTTTTTAATTTAATTGTGACCTTTAATCTTGTAATAGAATAGTTTAATCATTTTGTGTTTATTTGTAATTATTGGTCTACAGTATATTTGAATATATGTCTCATTAAGTTGTTTTGTAGGCTGAAATATTTATGAGGAATTTTCTTTTCTTTTTTTCTCTTTTTCTTTTCTGTTTCCTCATTATTGGGGATTGAGCCCAGGGCTGCTCTACCAGTGAGCTGCACCTCCAGCCATTTTTTTTTCTGCAGCCATTTTTATTTTTTAGTTTGAGACAGGGTCTGGCTAAATTGCCTAGGCTGGGCTGAAACATATGATCCTCCTGCTTTAGCCTCCCTCAGTGCTGGGATTTTGGGCATGTGCCACCATGATGAGAGTGTGTGTGTGTGTGTGTGTGCGTGCACACACGCACACACTGTGCTAGGGATCACTCAGAGCCACATGCATACTAGGCCAGTGCTCTGCTACTGAGCTACACTGCAGCCCAGGGATTTTCTTGACTTGCATTTTCTTTGTTTTTCTTTTTTTTGTTGTTGTTGTTTTGCATTTTCTTGTGAATTAGACTGTTTGCCTTTGTTTTATTTTTATGTTTTGTTCTTGTTTACTGGAGAGTGAACCCAGGGAGCAACAAGCTACATCTCCATTCCATTTAGTTGTCTGATTGTCTGCCTATATTTTGATACAGAGTCCTGCTAAATTTTGCAGGCTGGACTTAAACTTGCAATCCTTCTGCCTCAGCCTCCTAGGCAGCTGGAATTACAGGTGTGCACCCTGGTGTCTTTCCTTTCCTTACTTTTTTTTTTTTTTTTTTTTTTTT